CAGGGGGTTACGGTACCTTTGTCCGGTATCCCACCCAGCTCACTCATGTCACTGGTTGCAAGGAGCTGGGCAGGACGTGAACCACGGCTCTTTTTTGGCTGGATCAACAGTACGAAGTACTAAGCCTTAAAAAAAAGAAACCTAATGCAGCCACCATATTTAAGGAGTGGTAAGCTAAAATATATTACATTTTTGTCCATGGGTTTAAATATACTTTTAAAGCTGACCTCAGGGTTAAGCAATTACAATAAGTACAATAGTGTGCTTTTGTGTATTTCTTCTACTTCTTCTTCTGTGCAGTAATCCAGTGTGAAACTTTTCCTCTGTGCAGGAGCTTCAGTCAATAAAGACCAGTTACTAGTCCTCTCTCTCCTTATGCAGGTTGACTGGTCTTGTTTCCACCCCCTCCTCTACTATTCTGCAGCCATCCTGTAGTGAATAGGCCTGCTGAGTCCCTCCCTCAGCTCTACTGCCTGTGCATCAGATTGATGATCTCACTGCCACATATTCAATGCAATAACTGTGTCTGCAAAGATATTTAGTGCACACAAAGTGGGTTATATTTTTTGAGAAATATATTTAGATTGAGTTTTTGTGCACCAAGAAACTTTAAAGAGTGAGATTCGCAGCACTTAGTTTTGTTATCCAGCAAAATGATTACCTTAAAATCTACCTTCACCATATTAAAAAAACGGAGTTCTGGTTTGCATTTGCAAAGTTAAGTGGACAACACATACCACCTTTTAAGGTGCCTCTGAAAAATGTGAACCTACTGTAATCTATCCCAAAATTGGGAATTCCGGACCAACTGTAATCTGCGAGAGTACCAAGACTGGGGACCTACTGTAATCTGGGAGAGTACCAAGACTGGGACTGGGGACCTACTGTATTTTGGGAGAGTACCAAGACTGGGATTGGGGACCTACTGTAATCTGGGAGAGTACCAAGACTGAGACTGGGGACCTACTGTATTCTGGGAGAGTACCAAGACTGAGCGGGGACCTACTGAAATCTGGGAGAGTACCAAGAGTGGGAGCGGGGACCTACTGTAATCTGGGAGAGTACCAAGACTGGGAGCGGGGACCTACTGTAATCTGGGAGAGTACCAAGACTGGGAGCGGGGACCTACTGTAATCTGGGAGAGTACCAAGACTGGGACTGGGGACCTACTGTTATCTGGGAGAGTACCAAGACTGTGGCTGTGTCCATGAACTATATAAAACAAAATACATCACTACAGTCATTTTGTATCTGATGGATTTTTACCCAAATATTCTTTTCACCCAATCTGTAACAGTTTTTGGAAATAATAGAGTTCAGATCTTGCGTTTGGGATGTAGATGTTCCCTGCTCAGTCATTCAGATGACTCCCGGGGGGTTTTATGGTGAATTGATTTGCTGAAATTGTTTGCTTATTTTGGTAGATTTTCATATTTATTTATAGTTATTGCATAATGACTGTAAATACACGGATTTATCAGTTAGGGAGAATCAACCATAACATTCACTGATGTTGCCAAGTCTTTTTTCCCTAGCTGATCTATAAGTAGACCTAAAAACAAACTGTTAGCCAGTTGAAGTCTTGTCCAGGCTTATTTCTTTCAGCCTTCTATTTTTGTCTAAATTTCACATCCTGCCATATTTTGTAGCACACCACTTCCCCAGCAAAGGATCGTGTGCTCATCGTGACAGCCTGAAGCTCCAAGTTAAGATGTTCAGGGAGATGCAAGATTCTTAGAAAGCTGCTTTCACTGGTGATCATTACACGTCAGGACAAATTGTTTTGTGGTCTCTTTGTGCAGATCTTAAGTTATTGCTCAATACCAAATTAAAACTGAACTCCAGGCAGACACGACAATACACAATTTAAACTTACAGTCCACCGTTTAAAAAAAAAAAGAAATTAATAAAAAAATGCACATTCATTAAAAAAATATGTATTTATTTGCATTGGAGCCAGTAAATCATTGCCCCACGATTGGCGGCTCTTGCTCCTGCAGATTCAAGGAGGAAGGATGAATGGGCTAAAAGTGCAGTGAAGTCGGTGTAAGCATGTTTCATATATCACTATAAATAATGCACTCTTGTGATAAGCCACCCATGCTAGACATGGCGTCTAGACTTTAAGGCCCCATTCTTACCAAGGCGGCATTGTTCTTGCATGTTTGTACACGCGGGTTCAGCGTGTGTGTGTGTTGTTGTTGTTGTTGTTTTTTTTTTGTTTTGTTTGTTTGGTTTTTTTGTTTTGCACATTTATGTGCATTTGGCACATTTTTACACACGGTTTGACTGGCAAATCAGAAACATTGCGGTCAATGGATGAACGCACAAAAATGTGCAACATGCTTCTGTCACTCGTTTCCATTGAGGGCGGGGGGGGGAGGGGGGCTGAATATGACCATCACACTCCCAAAAAAACTCATGTTCTTTTTTTCTGTGTTTGGCGTTTTGCTGCTCAAGTGTGAACAGGGGACATTTGAAAATCTTTGGATTTCTTGTGTTGGGCATTTAAAAGCTTTTTCTACTGCTCAAAAATGCCTAGGTGTGAACCAGGCCTGAGAAGCGCTAGATTTTCTCTGCTTTTAACTTCATTATTGATGTGCTTTGGCTTGGTCTGAACCAAGTTCGCCTGCATTCATCCCCAAACAGAATGGTCACTTGACACACCCCTCCCTTTCGACCCAGTCATTTGCGGTAGGGACATTCCCTGCCTCTTTGTGACGGGTAATGCAGCGACAGGGAATGCCCTGGCCGCAACTGATTAGGCCGGTAGGGAGGAGTGTCAGTGACTGTTTTGCCGGGCTTGGCCGAACTTGATTTGCATTAAGCTCCCCACACATCACTACCCTTTATGGTGCGGTTGTGGCAATGCCCAATTCTGTTCATGTATGACCATTTTAAGGCTGGTCCCTTTTGTGCACAGCTTCAACCAATTCATAGAAGGCACACAGAAGCATTCTTGCCATATGTTCTGTGGCCTGCTTCTTGGAATTGCACTTGGATTTCCCACTCGTGTTTGATAGAACCA